CCACTTTTCCTTTCCAGAAAAGAGCAACCTGTTTACATAGGAAAAGTGGTTTATGTACCTAGGTACATTGACCACTTTTCCCTCACAAATCCAGAAAAACAATTTTTATTTATTTTTTGCTGATAGACCGCATTGCCTTTCAGCCGTTCAATGTATTCTCTTAATCCACACTTCTACACGGGACTTACGAGGACTCGTGAACTTCCAATTCCGAAATATTGAAAAGAATAGTCAGTAACTGATCAGATTATAGGGAAAGCAAATTGCTTGAACCTTGGACCAACACACATGGCCTTGGAAAGCAATGCCTCACGTCAATGAAAGTTGTTTTTTTTTCTGGTCACTTCACCGTCATCTTACCTCGTTATCCTACCTTAAAAATGTGTCTGTGTGACTTCGTGAAAGGGCCTTCGCTGCGGCGCAGAGGAACGACGACGTGACACATACGCCAATTCCATGAGGTACGACCAACATTAAAGGGAAAAGAGCGATGGAAAGGAAAGCGCAGTCCCTCTGGAATTCCAGCCACTCTACGGTTTTTCCACGTCCCATATCTGGAGACGAAGTGCTTCGTTTTGAGGGATCTCTCGTTAAAAATTTTGCTGGAGTTTGAGCGCGAGGTCATGTGTATTCGTTGTTTCATGTGTTTTGCACGAAATTCACATTCAGGTCTCCATCACGTGCGAGACCTTTCAGGAATGCGCATACGATAGTAAAGACGTGCACAAACATCAGTAAATCTGTATGTACAGCCACAACAGCTGGGAGCTCACTCTGATGTGACGGTCGATGAGCCAGTTGAGTTCGATATCGCTTCATCTTCGCCATATGGATCGATGAGGGACTGTCCCACTTTTAACTACCTTACTTATAGGACCAACATGATTGCGCGAAGAAAGTCACATCATCATTCTTGCTCCGGTTGACGTGCATGATTGTGCATAACGATTTTATGTCCAATTACCAAAAGGGATGGCTTTAAAGGGGACGTAGGTGTTTAACCCGGCAATTATTTGCCAATTGCCACCGCCCAATTTCACGGCAATTGTCAGTGCCGATGAACAGGCATCCCGGCATCAAAAAAAAGTAGATGGTATGAGTGGCGATACTCGCCACTTCCTCAGGATATGCCCAGATGTGTTGGTCTGGAATGATTCTACGATTCCATTACTTACTAGTAGGTGAAAAATATATATTAAGCATTTTTAGGCGAAAAATATTCTCGGAAAATGCAACAACCTAGAAAGAGTTTGAAGTGATATCTTACTAAATATTACTGACAGTTTGCAAAACAAAAAGAGTAGAATATAGTAGGACACCATAGTTGAGAAGTAGAGACTCAAAACCTGTACCCCCGAGGGTCAGTATCGTTACACAATCCCGCCATAATGTATGTTGCAAGAACGGTAAGCCAAATTCTCTATTTCCCATAGCAGAGGGAGGCGTGAATACGCTGAAATAGCCCAAAGATGCTGTCCCTGGAAGCGACTCATCCACCCACGGACATTCGCTTGAGACGTGGGAGGAGTCCCGCAACTTACCTCCATCGAAATCTACCTGACGATTCTTTCAGGTCGCGTGGAGAATGGCAATGTAGGAGGAAGGGAAGGTGCTCGTGGAGGGAAAGGAAATTAAACCCGGTCGATAATGATGCTTCCCTATGCATTAAGTCGAGTCTCAGGGGAATGCGAGTCATAGCTGAGCGATTGGTGGAGGTGGGAAGGTCGGGGTCTTCGTTCGTTAAAGGGAACCATGAAAGTCAACGAGAATCCACCCAAATTTGCCACTGGGACTCAGATCGGAGGCCTTATTGGAATTCTACTCAGGTAAATATTTCTCTTCAGCAATTTTTGCCGGTGATGAATCGTCATCGCGATATCTTACACAGGTGGAAGATGAGTATTTACAAGCTTATCTGGTTTGAGCTCCTTTTCTGGCTCCTCGCCTTTTACGGCTTCAGGTGTCTTTACACCTTCGGACTGGAAGAGCATCAGAAGAAGTGAGTGGGACTTCTTTCTTTTCCTTTCAATTTTTCTTAGCGGATTTCTTCCTTGTAAGGCATACTTGTAAGTTCGAAACTTGGCACGGGTGACAACCTACGTTCCATGTTGACAAATCTACGGGGAAAAAGTTCCCCTCTCGTCGAATTTTCGGCTTCGAGTCCTTTCGTGCCATGCAGTTACGACTTTCACAGATCATTCGAAACGCTGGTGAAGTATTGCCGGGATTTCAACAAGAACATCCCGCTGCTGTTCGTCCTGGGTTTCTACGTCACGACGGTGTTCACTCGGTGGTGGGGGATGTGGAGCTCCCTGCCCTGGCCGGATGACTTCATCCACTACCTCACCACATATCTAAATGGAAGGGTAAAATCAATTTCTTTTTAGTTTCCCGCGTGCGAAAATTTACATAATTGAACAATTTTGGTGATCTTTAGAAGGGGTGAGAACTTATGCTTGTTAAATGTCAAGCAAAAACCTGAACGCTCAATTGAATTTTTTTCGAGCTTTTGATTCACGGAATGATGGGCTGGGGCGTCTGGCGGCTCATTCGCTATGTGTTCAATGAAATTACTACCTGAGGATACCTCAGACTTAATTTGCCTCCTGAATAGACCGACTTCCATTTTGATACATGAAAATTGCTTACTTCATTGCGAAAATTTCCCTTTTTTAAAATTCAGATTCCTCGAAATAGGTACTTTAGCTGCATGCAATAATTAAATTTTCCCGGTTTGCATCCATATTTCCCTTTTCACCCGTTGGAATACCGATATCTTCGAAACTTGAAGAAATTGCACATGCAAGAAAACGGTGAAAGGTCTCGCAGCAATGGAAAAGCGAATGAGAGGAAAATGTTAAGGTGATGAAATGCTTGATTTGTCTCAAAGAATATTTCCAACTATCCAACATATAAGAAACAGCTAAAAAACGGCAAATAGTCACTTCAGCTGGAATGCTCTCATGCACTTCTCATGGGGTCACAGAGGCACAAATTTTCGAGCTCGATCAGGGAGATGGTGACAATTTCCAGCATTGAAAGCTCCACGTTAGGACTTGCCAACCACGATGAGATAGCAAATGCAGAAGGATGAGCTTGGTTTTGCTGATCAAAACACGACGTGAAAGTTTTTCTTCCTTCCAATTTAGATAATGGCTCAAATATAGGAAGGAAATTCGCCCCCTTCGGCGCAATTGAGCATAACGTAGCTGAATTTCTCATGTTCAAAGGGAATTGTCGTTCGGTGGAGATTGTAGGAACCATTCAAACTCTAAATCGTGAATTGTGACATTTGCATTCGGTATTCCTCTGTTCCTCGGCCGGGCTTAGGTTTTCATATGAAAGGCATGTGTAATATGTTTGCAATCATTCAATAGGGTCCAATTTCGTGCATTAAACAAGAGGATAAGTCACACCAATTCCATACAACTGAGCGTTCTCTCCTGGAAAACATTCCATCTCGATTTATTTCTGATGCGGCGTGTGTCATTCCGTATGTTCCCTTTCCTTGGATTTCTCTTCATGTTTTCCATTTCGTAGGACTCCCGATCTCAATTGATGAGGAGGACAATTATTCGACAAGTGATCCTGGGGATCCTCTGCTGCATGAGGTTCTTCAGCAGCCGAGTTAGGAGGAGATTTCCGTCAATGAGAAGCCTCGTTGAAGCAGGCAAGAAAAACTTAATTTCGACTCATTCTTTGGGAACGATGGTTATGGTATTCATCGAGGCCTTCTTATTGATTTCTTAATGTAGTGAATAACACATTCAAAACTACTTGTATTTCACGAAGTCAGAATTTGCTTAAATATATCCAAACGATTGTATTCTGGTAATTTCTAGAAATAATTTTGTCTTCTTTCTGCATCGAAGTAGTTGCGATTTCTCTAATTCCATATAGGACATTTGCGCCACTCCAATATTAAGTTACTAGAAGAGAGAGTTCTCCCAGTCGTTAAAGAAAATAACAGTGAAGTAGTGCGGATTTTGTGACGGTCACAGCACTGCCCACTAGCTCTTCACAAAATTCTGAAAAGACATTGGGAATATGCTTAGAGCTTTACGTGTTGTTTGAATCTGGAAAAGCCATACGACCATGTATTTCGACGGGGGCTCGGAAAAGTATGAGAGTAGGAGAATGGGATTGACAGCCGGCTCCGGGGTTTAGCGAAGTATGATTGCTATATATGGAAATTTCAAAGAACTAAACTTTTGAGTCTCCGTCACGACAGGCTCTGCATATCATCTCCGGAGCATGGATCCATTGCCCTGGTTTGGGAACAAGGGAAGATCACCCTTCGCCTGCTCGAGCCGAAGAAGTTGGGATGATTAGCTTTAAAAAATATACAGAATATGCAGGGGGGCGCAGAAGTCGCGTACCATAGAGGATTTCATTATTGCACTCAATTCTTGTTTCTTTCTTTGGAGGTAAGTGATGGCTGAAAAATAAACAAAAGACGAGAGGGTGGAGTTAAGATATCTTCAAACATCATGTGTGCAGCGAATAGATGTGTTTTCAAGTAAATGGCAGACTATTAGAACATTTACTGTAATTTACCCTATGGTGCGCGACTTTTGCGCCACCCTGAATACTCCTAAGGTATACAGATTTGAGATGGAACTTCAATATCGAGTGAATTTATCTAATATGTATCGTGGAGTAGCACTACAATGCAGGTATGATTATTTTCAATTGAAAGGCATCGTTCCAAGTTAAAGATTTCGGGAAAACTAGATGCCTAGATGGAAACTCATTCACCAAAATATATTTATGAAGTAGCCGTTTAGTTGCGGCCACCAACACAACAGCGGTCATCAATACATATGCTTCCAATGAGCTCTCTTCATGATCTTTCTTTTACCATCGAGAACAAGAATCTGAAATGGACCGATTGTGAGCACTCTTGAGACAGATGTTGCCAATGCAAATTTATCCAAGTCTGCCAGCCTCAAAGAGTTAATGACTGAATCCATGTTCTTCACTACTCCCATGAAGGTCTGATGGAGGAAGGCGAATATCAAGTAATGGATGTGCTTGCAAGGAACTCCCAAAGGTCCATGTACTGGATCCCCCACATGTGGGCAGCGAACATCGCCCAACAAGCGCGGGTGGAGAATCGGATCGAGAGCGACGTCGGTCTCCGGGGCGTGATCGATGCATTGACTGCGCTTCGTCGGACCTGTGCAGTCTGCCAACAAGTGGAGTATGTCGAACTTCCGCTCGTCTACACGCAGGTTCTGTTTCCCATCGATTCAGTCTGGTTTTTTTTCCACAATATGCAGTTCCTTAGAGAGGGTTTATATTTATATCAGGAGAGCATCAAAATCGGGTCAGAGAGAAAAGTTTAAAAAAAATAATGTGGATCCTACACAATTGAGTAGACCATTGCCCAATAATCCAAATGGGGTTACAATAAAACAGCTTTGACAGCAGATTTGACATTAAGCGAAAGAAATTAGAAGAAGTATGGGGTTGTGGTTGGGTAAACGATGCATTCTTAACTATATTTCCAATGTTGTTAATGAATTAATTGCAATTTAATTTCAATTAGGGGAGCGGCACCAGTTAGCGAACGAGGGTCCTGAAATACGATTTGGCCCCTTTGTTTCTCGGGTTACACGCTCCAGCTTTTGGTATTAGCAGAAAATCTATTTATTGATTAATTAATGTTTGGGATGGAGTGTGAAACTAGAGTAACAAAAGGCCAAATCGCATTTCATGACCCTCGTTCGCTAACTGGCTCCCTGTTCGCGAACTGGTGCCGCTCCCCTAAGTACCTTTCGTGAACCAGACGTTGAAGGGGATAGATTGTAACGTTGGATTTACCTATGGTTCATCGTTTACATAGCCATGAAAAGTAATGAGGCAAGAATGAATAGACATTTCTTCCAATAAATGCTTCTCTCCTTAAAACGCTCGAAGGAAAAGTTCTCATGATGTAAGGAAGGCACCAGATAATTGATCCTCTGGTTATTCAGGAAATCATCCCATGGAATAGGAATGCAGTTTCAATGTTTTACTTGAGAGGAATGAGATCAATAATATTTTGTTCCTTTTCATTTTTTTCGCTTAAAGAAAAAATGAATGGAATTTCAAAAGAAAAACGATGGTGCAAATCCAAGTAGTTTTTCTATCTGAAAATGCGTTACTGCTTCACCAGTTGGCAGGCAAATACATTGAGGAATCTTCCTGCATAGACACATCAGGGTATTTTCTCTTTAGATGGTGACCATTGCCACTTACAGCTTCTATTTTGCTTCGATGCTGGGAAGCCAGTTCATCGACTGTGACCTTTACCAAAAATGTGACACTGACAGTACTTCAAAAGTTAACAGGACTCAAGATGAAACACAATTTGCCTCGGGGAATTCCACGATAATGAGCAGTAGCCATTGGAAACAAATCATAGGATTGAACACCTACTTCCCCCTTCAAGCCATATTTCTTGTAAGTAGGACATAATATCATTATGTACAATCGTACTTATCCAAAGCAATGACTGATGCAGCCAATTTTTTTTTTGCAATTCAGTTGGTCGTATACGTCGGATGGCTGAAAGTGGCTTTGTCCCTCATCGATCCATATGGCGAAGATGAAGCTGATTTTGAACTCAACTGGGTCATCGACCGTCACATCAGAGTGAGCTCCTAGCAGTCGTTATTATGCATCCCGATTTATTGCTACTTGAGCGCGTCTTTCCCATCGTCCATATATTTCTGGAAGATCGCACACGTGATGGAAGGGGGGCTGAATGTGGATTTCGAGCGACGTACATGGAGCGAGACGTTCCCTTGGCTCTTCAAGAAAGATTGGACGTCCAATTGGAAGCGAAGTGCCTCCTCTGAAATGATGAACGGGAAGGAAAAGGCAGAGGTGGGTCTTTTTGCGAAATTAAGGCATGAATAATTAACTGCTCCCAATGATGGGAAGAAATCCACATGGCACACCTAATTATTACGCAACGCCAATGTGAAGATGTCTCCTGGACGCAAGGGGTACATCATTTATATTTGAGAATTCAAAAGAGGATGTGGCCGACTTAGAATATACCTTTGAATTCAGTGAGGTAACCGACATGTGCAGGCACCATGTTTTTCTAGCAATTATTCATTTATCTCAACCCTTTTCAATGGTGTCGTGGGTGTCCGTCCTTATATTTTTCGGCGTGCTGAGTATCAAAACGTATGAAGCAAGCAGTCGACGTCTGTATTAACTTGTTTGTTCTAAGGACTCCTTAGTGGTAATCACCTGAAACTACTTGAAAAGCGAATACTTGTGAATCCAACAGGAACCGAATCCGGAGACTAAAGAGGATATGAACCCCGTCGGCCCAGGGGTTCTCGTGACCACGACCCTCTACCGATTAATGAAGTATGATGAAAATAGCTACCTGCCGGCACGCTGCCAGGAATGATCGATCGACATTCGAACCAGTGTTCGAAGGCAACACCAACTGCGACGATGACGACACGGACGCACTTTTCGGAGGGGAGAAGTAATTCCAGACCTCCCCAACCAGGCACATGATACATTTGCACTTACCCAAAGAATTACCCAACCCCATGACTAAGACCGTCAGCGGTTCACATAAGTATTGTATGTCCAAATGTTTCCTAGAATAATTTTGTTGAAGGATTTCGCTTCCCGTTTACAGCTAATTATTTTCATATTGTAGCAATACTCTCTTGTTGTCAGGGGGAATCGTTCAAAAAGTTTTTAATTATTTCAAGCGTTTCTTAATGGACAGAGAATGAGTCTATTGCCTTCGATCACTTCTCCATACATCTGTTGTGATGCATAGTAGCTTGAACATCGCATGGTGCTTAACCGCACTCATGAAGGACTTGCTTGCTGCCTGAAATCGAAGGGTTTTACTTAGAACACCTGGAAGAGTGAGCTCCAATGGATGCAAGGTTAAATTCCGCCCGATTCCTCCATCAACAACAGGCAACTGCAACGCACAGAGGGAGAATTACATGGGAAACGGAAAGTGAATGCGATCATCGTAAGACCTGGAAAGGAAATGTTTTGCTTCTTGATTGTGAATAGTTTTGGAATCATCATCAGGTTTATTCATCTATCATTCCCAAATGTATTATGAGAAAATGGTACATATTTCGACAGGTTTGTCATTGACAGGTTTGACAGGTTCATTGCATTCCGTCTCTTGTTTTGATATCAACCGCACTTTGCGTGCATGTAAAACTTTCCACTTTGGTCGAGTAGCTAGTGTACGAATAAAACTTCCCACTTCCCCCCACGTACGAAAGAATAAATTACCTTACTAAATAATTTGCGGTTATTATCTGAACTGGAAGTCAGTGTTCTTTTCCGGTATTTCTATGTGCATCAAAAGTGCTACCTATTCATTAGTTCTAGGAAAAAAGCAGAAGTAGCGAGCGATGTGCAATTTCATATCCAATAGCTCCGGAATGATCGCCATATTTGTTCATAAACCCATCTTTTACTTGGCCAAGCTGTTCCTTCCAGCGAGTCCTTCGGTGACATGCTCTGTTCTTCACAACTGTTTCAAGCATGTTCTCCTGTTGATGTCATATGTAGTTGAAACGCTTTCTGATGGCATTACATGACCTTGATTGAAAGTTGTGAAATTTTGCACATGATTCGGAAATAAATGAAGAGACTTCAAGGATGGGCATTTCCTTAGCAGGCCTGGCGATTCCTTATCGAAATCTCACCCTGAATAAAGATGAAAGCAAGAGCCTTAAACCTGTGAATTTCGAATCTAACTGAAGTCTTTATTGTGAACTATGCATGGAGATACAGCTATCAACTTCAATCGAGAGCGATCGAAAATGAAGATCACATCGCGTTGCAGTCTGCGAAGTCTCCCGGATTGAGTTCTTGAATAGGCGGCCCTCCATCTGCACAATAGGCTTCTATGATTCCAAGAAAGCCCGGATTGAGCACCAGCCAGGCGATCGTGCAGTCGCAGACAACGCTAGCTGGAATTCGAAAAGAGGGATGTTTGCACCATTCGACACACTGGTGATCAAGGGAGGAGCTCACTGCCCAATACGATGCTTCCATCTCCCTGGGTGAGGATCTCGAAGATGGGGCGGAAAGTCCCTTCCGCCAGTTCTGAGATAGGGTTGTTACCTAGATCAATTCTCGTGTATGGGCTTACACCTGGGATGAACAGGAGAACTGCTCAGTTGCTACACTTACCAGAAATCTCACGCGGCGAACGCGTGACGCACAATGAGAATAACAGAACTAATTAATAGCAAGTTTTACAGTTGGAACGTAGAATCAATGTACCATAATCATACCTGTGATTGCATGTGATTCGACGCTCGAAATTCCGCAGGTTCGGAAATTCAAATGTCGCAAATATGGACTGTTGAATGCCAAGGTACCGTTCCGTAGAATTGGTCCCAGAGGGCAGAGTGGGCAATCAACCACCTCCAAGCTCGTGAATCCCAAGAAAAATCCAGGTTGGATTTCCGAAACCGGATTCATGTCTGGATTGGATGGAATAGAATCAGATCAGCTCATACATGTTAATTGAATATGCCACATATCGAATGAGAATATATTAAAGAATGATTACCAATTCACGTAATATCATAAAATATGAGATTACATTTTTGCCTCGTGAGCTGCTACTCTGGTTCTAAAACATTCTTGCTATACTCAGGGTTCAATTTTGGGTTTTGAAGAGACAAGGAATTGCATGGGATGGAAGATATAGGAGTGAAACGGCGTAAAAACTTCAAAGTCCTATGTCTATGTATAGGGTGGTTAGAAAAAACGCTCTGCCATTTTATATGGGAGGAACACAGTTTCATAAATGCAGAAAAAAAATTTACTTTGGATACTCTATTGATATTTGACTGTTACAAGGTGTAGAAGTGCTTCCTAGTTATTTTTCTCAGCACCCCTACTTAAGTCGTGAAATACCCATTTAGAGGTGAGTTAAAGGTACTTAGAGGTGGAATATTCCACCTTAAGTGAGGTGATTACCTGTGATTGTCTCAGAATTCAAGGGACAGTTGGATCCTGCTGATACTTGACATGAGTCTAATAGTTTTGTTTTACTTCCGCAAGATGCCACTGTATCCGATAAAGGGCATTGTTATTGACCTGGTAACCGAGGGTGATTGGAAAAAAAAGTGCAATACTCTACCCGTAAACTATGTAACGGGACAATTCATCGCTCAAGGAACTGCTCAGGAAAAAAAAAACAAACAAGACACCTCTCTTATGTCCAATATCAAGAGTTTATTAGGTTTTTTTCGAATACATGAATCGTAATTTCCCCCCTCCGAAAACGGTGGAGCTTCTCTCGATCACTCTCGGTCACCCAGTCAATAACAGCGCCCCCCAGTGGGATACAACGCTATCTTGCAGAGGTGAAAAAAACCTCTTTGACTCATGAACCTCTCCGTCAAGAATCAGCTGGATCCAAAGGTCTCTGGAAAAGTTAAAGTTAAGACCTTCATTGAATTCTGAGACGGTGGGGCACAGGTAATCACCTCACTTGAGGTAGAATGATCCACCTCTAAGCAACTTTAACTCACCTCTAAATGGTCATTGCAGGGGTGCGGAAGAAAGAGCTGGCAAGCATTTCAACACCTTGTAACAGTCAACTACCGATCGAATATCGAAAGTAATTTGTTTGCTGCATTTATGAAACTGTGTTTCTCCCAAAGAAAAGCGGAATTTGCGTTTTTTTCCTAACCACCCTATACTCGTACTCTAGGAGGAGGGAATTGTTTTTAAGGATACGAAGGTTGATTTTTAACCCGGTCTGATTTTAGCCTGGTGCTAAACCCATATACTCCCTGACAGTCATCCGTCTTCCTCTTATGAGTCCGTCATCGACCTGCTACTCAGCCAGTGAATTCAAGCAGACTGTGACTCTTTTGAAGTGGAAGTATACCTTCTGCCCCTCGAGGACATCCCCAGTGCGATTGCATCGTTATTTACATCGAGGATTCCCGTGGAGAAACTTTGTTCATCTGAATGCCTGCCAGGATCCAAGAAACGGGTACCAATAGTGTCATATTTGTCAGAGCTTTATCTTTCTCGGTTATTTCTTCCGATTCGTATTCAAGCGAATACGAATCAGACCTCTGACTCTCTAACGCCAGGCTAAGGCCATTGTATACCCTCTTTTCTAAGGGTTGACGAAACGAATTGCAGGAGTTTTGATATCATGGCACCTTTAACCTTTAATCCCAACTCTGTAGTTGGCTCTGATTTGGAATTAGCTTTTGCAGTTGTAATTCATTTTGAAATATTATTTTCCGATTGCGATTCTGAAAAATTTTGAAGGGTTTCGTATGAATGCCCTTTTCCCTATGGACTATGTATATAGATGGATGCAATATGATAAACAAAGACAGGAAACTCAAGCTACCTATTAACATGAGAAAAACTGAGCCATCTTACCATTAAATTCTACAAAACTAAACTCACAGAAGCTGAGAAACTTCAACTTTGGCATATACGAGCCAGTCTCCAGTGTGGGAATATAATTGGCAACGAGACCGAGTACCTCCAAGCTCTTGCTCTGCACAGGTGGCAACACAGTAATCGAATTGAATGTGACATCAATCGTTGTGAGTTGAGTGCAGTTTCGCACGTAGTCCCATGGGAACTGTTCCAGTGCGCCCTCGCTCATACTGATTAATTTCAGTCGATCTATGGAAGGGAGGAGAGCCGACGGGTGAATGCTCCGGATTCCGCAATCGAAAGTCTCGATGACCTCGAAGGAGACGTCTCCGAACATCCTTTCGGGGATCTCTTTGACGTCGTGATTATTTGCCAGCTGGAAGTGGCTGTTGGAAAAATAGTTATTCAGCATGTACCGTTCACTTTTATTTCCTTGTCATAGAACAAATCCAAGAGAATTACATTCTTCTCGGGTCCGTCTTGAAAAGACTCGACAGACTTCATTTAGCCTAGAGGGTGACGATGGTTGTATAATAAAGTCAGGGATTCCTTGTGAATGGAACTAAATATGCTATTACTTATAACTTCAGTAACTAGTCTGATATAGCTTTTAATTTACTTTCGATATCCTGTTAATGAATTACGAAATTCCGATGGAAGTTTAGGAATCTATATAAAGCTGTTGTCGAATCTCTGAAACAATTGAATCCACAAAATCTGAGGAAACCATATATATTAACCTAAAAATTTGGCTACTTGCATTCCTTACCTCTGCTGAGTCAACGATTACTTTTTTAATACGAACAAAAAACCAAGATGCAATGCAATAAAGGGATTGAGCCACTCATCCGAGAAACACTCGCCTTTGAGAAGGGTGCAACCGAAGAAATGAGTGCATTTCTTTTCTGACAGGTGGAAAGGAAGTGCAGGACAGGATTCCCTTTCTATGCTTTAAAGTCTTTTCAGCGTGGTAGATTGCTGATTCCTTCGAAGAATCAGTGAAAAAAGCTAAACCATACAATGTCTTAAATCTGCAGCATATCTATGGCTTCGCGGAGGAAGTCGGTCTGAAAACTATGGATGAACAATAATGCATTGCTATCATACGAAAACATAATGTTCTTACTCACGCAAGGTCAGTAACCGGCCAAACGGCGTTGTTGAAGGCAAAGAAGATTTCATCACTGGACGTTGCTTCGGAGCATTCCACGTACACTCCATTCTCTTGTAAGGAGCATGTGCAAGGGAGAATATCGTCCGGTTCGGGACAGGGGTATTGGCCAATTATGGGGCGGATCAATGGGAGAAGGAGGAAGAAGAGGGAGAGAACGATGAACCGTTTCTGCATATTGACGTTGGGTGAAAATGAATAGGAGGAAAATATAGAAGTGGATATGTGTATTCCTGACGTGGCTGGCTTGTTTTCTCGCCAGGGCTGTGCTTATCTTTGTTATCCATGAGAATTGTCACACCTATTGGTGATATCAGTTAGTTATAGTCCTTCTCAGTAGGACTACAACACCTCAAGGAACTGCGATACCTTGTATTGAAATCATGCAGAAAACAAATTCCATCAACGTTGGCTATGATAATTGGTATGTAACCAAGTTAGACGCAAGAAAGACGCGTCATGAAGTAGGGCAATTGATATGGTTCCTATTCCTATTATTCCCTGAGGAGTTTTTTTTTTAATTGTATGCTGGTCACGGAAATTCCCCCCATTGTGTCTCACACGACATGTTCATGGTAGCACGGCATCCGGCACCAACAAATTCACTCCTGTCTATGACATTCTATTAGAAAAACATGAACTGATGAAGCACTCCTATGGAATCTTGGATTTTTAACATTTCCAGAGTATTCCCCTTAAATACAGGTCGGAAAATATTAAGTATGGATATGTTCAAGAGGGAAATGAACCGAACCAGAGTGGCAGAACAGTTACGTAAATATTCATTAAATTATAATCAAGCAGAGGAACAAGTACAACAGAGGTGGGAAAGGAATCAAACAAGTTACGATTCATCTTCAGCAGGTCATGGACATCATGGCTAACATCTTACGGTAGCACTCGTTGCCAGGCAATCAGCTCTCCAAGCCAAAAGCGTAATCCTCTCCAAGCATAGGGGTTTGCTTGTCGATGAACGGCGGAGTAAGGCATCGGAGACACCTCCCGAATTCTTCCGCCAATCAGTACTGCACCTGCGGGAATAAAAAAAAAACATGTCTTACCATACGGTACTTCAATTACATGCAAATGAACAAGCACTTCCACCTTCAGAGAACAAAACAATAGGAGACAAACTCACCCAAAGCAGGAGAACCGTGGAAGACACCAGAGGAAGCTCTATGAAGCTTTACCGGAATCCCAAGCCCTTTTAAACCCTTCCTTGCCAATCCTCCGACACACCCATTTCCCCCAACGCCCTCCACTTCTCCCCCGACACACCCTCGCCCCCACCCCCTTCCTGATCTCAAGGACACAAACTCGTCTTTCCCCCTTTCCTTGTCAGATATACATCTCCCCTCCAACCGTCTTCCGAACGTGTTTCATGTCGTTGCCAGGCGAACGGCTTTCAGCTCTCCCAGCCAGAAATGTAATACTTTCCATGCATAGGGGCTGGTTGTCGATGAACGGCGGATCGGAGGCATCGGAGACACCTCCCGAATTCTTCCGCCAATCAGTCCTGCTCCTGCGGGAATAAAAAAACGTATATTCCAATATGATACTTCCATTCCAAACAACTGACCAAGCACTTCCACCATCAGAGAACTCAACAATAGAAGACGGACTCACCCAAAGCAGGACAACCGTGGAAGACACCAGAGGAAGCTCTATGAAGCTATGCCGGAATCCCAAGCGCTTTTAAACCCTTCCTTGCCACTCCTCCGACACACCCATTCCCCCCAACGCCCTCCACTTCTCCCCTGACACACCCTCGCCCCCACCCCTTCCTGATCTCAAGGACACAATCTCGTCTTTCCCCCTTTCCTTGTCAGATATACATCTCCCTTCCAACCGTGTTTCATATCCATCTCCATCACGAATGTCACCCCCACGGACCCAGGATGTGGCAGCCTTCCCAATTCCATTTCTCTCCTCACGATTGTAAGAATATTTAATTTCCATGCAGGAGGTACGGGCGAGACCGAGCGTGGACACACAGTTAACGTTCTTCATCTCTCCATCAATTCCCTAGGAGCTCGTTTATTGTATGTCGACTCGTAAAGGTCCCCCCACAGTGTCCCGCACGACATGTTCATGGTGATATGACTTACACAACCGTCACACTCACTACTGTACATGGAGTTCTCTCCTTGGAAAAAGGAAAACCATTGAATTCCAATCTATGCAATAAAATCTGAGGTCCGTAGCATGTGGGCGCGCCCACACATGTTACGCGCACGTGCTCTCCTCACAGAATTTTCTGCCTATCTCTGGATTCTCTCCCGGATCTTTTTTCTGGGTCGTTAGTATTCCCAAATATATTCTTTTGTTTGTCCTCTCTTCTCACATGACCAGCCAGTGGGCAGGGGGGCGGGCGGGAGTGTAGCGACTGTCTCCCGTTGCCATGTGCGCCTTCTTAGCCTTTAAATATTCAATACTTCAGTGCTTTTGCACGGACAACCTACAAGTCGATTCTAAAAGGTTCAACGAGGATCACCACAAAACATTTTTAATTCGTCATATTCTTGAATACCGGAAAAAAACTTGGGGGATTGGCGACATATTCAGGATAGAGATGAACCGAACCAGGGTGGAAGAATTGTTACGTAATTTCTAATTAATTACAGAACTCACAGGGAAGCGTGTTCTCACTGTCATCAACGATGACTGCGCAGCCGTCATAAGCCGAATTTCAGCAAACATAGGTCATCACTGTATTTTGAGTGAGAGAAAGATGCTTAACAGCAGCCCATCGCGTCAGCCAGGCCTCGACGTGGCAATGGATGTTCAGGTGGGAGGAGGAGGCAAGTTTTGTCCCGCTTCCTGCGCCACCTCGTTTCGCCCGTTCGGCGCGGCCCCGTTTTGCCCCACCAGCACTCTCTATGATTGAGACGCAACTGTTAAAGTGAGTGAGCTATCCATAAATTATGACTTCATGGTTCAAATTGGCTATTTCAGCAATAAATTGGACGCCTCCGATGTTCCCGTGTTACTTTGTTTCGCGCTTCAAAAACTCGAAACAGAAAAGTGGGTAATTTTCCTATATTGCTCCTAAGGTGTGTACGAGCTACTTCACAAAACGTTGACATGTTAAACATACATGCACTCGTGGTGGGGGTTAAATTGCAGTAAATAACCGATATATCTCGGGTATGGTTTGATTGAATGGTCTTGGTTTCTCGGTTTTGCCCCTGGACTACTTTTCCATACCTTATTTGCGCGGCACCATCTTGCCGAACACTGAGTTTGCGTCGAATGACGACAGCATCGGGAACTTCACCTCAACGCCCAATTTTTTTTCAGCCAGATGGCGCCGCTTCCTGCTAAGCGAACGAGAATGTTCCCATGTCATCGAGAACTCCCCACCGCGAATAAACAAATCACCGCGGTAACTACATTCAACTCAACGTGTTATCAGGAGATAATTAAAAAAAACAATGGGCTGAAAATAAACTCCTGAATGTACTGTCTCTCACTGTGTATGCGTAAAGGACTATACATATAGCGTGCGCGATTCTGGGCCGTTAACAAGGCCGAGCGACAATTGTAAAAAAGTAGTTTTTGGCAACACTCGGCAAGGTGCAGCCAATGCACTTGATATTGATCCAGCATTATCATTTGATTTTTCCTCACCCCCATTCACCCCCAACGCGCAGGCCTACAATGCAATCCCCTCCTGGATCATAGGCCAGTCTATCCGCGGCCTAAATCGCCAGGCTTACAAGGCGACGTCTTTCCAGTCCATATCCTATACTTTAATTCGAAAAGGTCAAAAGCTGTGGTGGTGGTGGTCGTGGCCGTGGCTGTCACCCCCAGCGCGCAGGCCTACAATGCAATCACCTTCTGGATCATCTGGATCTGGATCTTCTGGATCACAAGAGGTTGCGGGTTAAACTGGAGGCGCACGGGATCCAGGGTAGGACGAGTGAGTTGATCAGTAGCTGGTTGGCAGGACGAGAGCAACGGGTGATGATAAGACACGTGATATCGAAATGGGCGAAATCGCCTCTTGATATCACTAACTCCCCTGACTCCTGACTCCTGACTCCTGACTCCTGATCATAGGCCACGCCATCCACGGCCTAAAGCGCCAGGCCTACAAGGCTACGACTTTCCAGGCCATCATATCCATTTAACTCGAATATACTTTCACTCGAAGAGCCCATGAGTTCTGGTGGTGGGGATCGTCACCCGAGCGCGCGAGGCCTACAAGTCTATGTCACTTCAGGCCAAAGGCTAGGCCATTCACCTCTCAAAGCGCCAGGTCCTTCAGGCTATGTTATTCTCGGTCATAGGCTTGGCCATCCAACGCTTTTACCGCCCGGTCCATAGAGCTATTTCAGTCTGAGCCATAGGCTTCATACTTAGCTGTGTCAATCGAAGGGTGGTAATAACGGAATGCGTGTCATGTTTTCACTGATCGACTGCAAGTTCTCCATCTGAATACATTCTTTGATCAAGTTGTTGAATCCCACATGATTCATGTTCATGGTGATAGATCATATTGGAAGGGATCCCACAGGACGGCGATGAGGCAGTCACTACAGATTATACACAATTGGTGCTGGCGCAGAAACAACGTTTGCCACTGCAGTTGCGGTGCGAAGTGCCTAAATCGGTGCTTTAGGAGGTGCTTGCCATAATGGCTAGAATGACTGCTGAACAGTACCCAGTTGCACTTAGGGAGCGTAAGGTCGGACACCAAGAGGCAGCGAATGCCGAGCTCAGGAATAGGAGAGCCATGTAGCCTGATGAGAAACTTAATGCCCGGAATGCAGCACTCAGGTGTCTAAAGCCGGGGGGCGACCGGGAATTGAACCCGGACTTTTTGCTTGCCAGTCAGGTGTGCTACCATTACACCATGGAATTCGGGACATTTTGTCAGGCCTCTCCATGTCATCTCAAATCACTACAGTCGTTTGCGCAGCGAGCACTGTCAGGCTGTACATATCACTACAGTCTTTTGCGCAGCGAGCACTGTCAGGCTGTACATTTTGATGTAGGGAGGAGACATTTGTTTCACAACGAAAAAATGCTCCTGCTGGAACTCACACTTTAGCACCGGTGAGGAACACTTTCTGAGCCTCAGGGTAATGTGGTGGCGAGGCATTTTCTGGAATTAGTCGCTAGCATTGTGCCTTCGAATACGTTCTTGGAAATGGTCCGTACTGTTTCAGAATCATTGGTGTCTGTACTATATGCTAACGCTAATAGCATATGGGCTAATCGGTGATGCAAGAATATTGAATGTTCTAGGGAGACGAAATCAGCAAAGTCGTTTTGAGTCTCATGAAAACGTGCTAAACCGTTCACAATGAACGATTGTGGCAATTAGCCGGAATATCATGATGATGGTGTTTAGGAACAGAATCTCACTGTGTACTGTAAGCTATAAGTGTGTATACATGTAATGAAGCAGTTCAGTTCCGAAGGAGGTGAAGAGATGATTGTGAAGGAAACATTATGCTCACAATAGACGGTTCAAATTTCCATTCTATTAGACGGCCAGCGTAGCGGCCGCTAGTTATACTTTGATTCGAAAAGCCAAAGAGATGTGGTGATGGTAGTTGTCACCCTAGCGCGCGAGGCCTACGAGACTATGTCACTTCAGGCCATAGGCTAGGCCATCCACCCCTCAAAGCACCAGGTTCTTGAGGCTATGCTATTCGGGGCCATAGGCTTGGCCGTCCAACGCTTTTAGCGCCAGTTCCTTTGAGCTATATCAGTCCGAGCCATAGGCTTCGTACTTAGCTGTGTCAAAGTTTTTTATTTTATTTATTTCCATTAGGTCAGGCATTGCGGTTCGACACATCATTTCTATGCAAGTGTTCTCCGTTTGCGTTTCAGGTCATGGCGGATTTATTTGAATTCTCATGATTGATGAAATCAAAATAATGACGTAAGTTCTTCATTTCATACCTAGCGCAACGGGCCGCTCCTCCCATCAAAATTGTGGCGATTTTTTCGAGGTGAGATTGAACGTGAAAAGAAATATGTTGAAAGAGGTCCCACAGGACGGCGATGAGGCAGTCGCTGCAGATAGTAAACAATTGGTACTGGCGTGGAAACAACGTTTGCCAATTCAGTTGCAGTGCGAAGTGCTTAAATTGGTGCTTTAGGAGGTGGTAGCCATAATGGCTAGAATGATTGATGAACAGTACCCTGTTGCACGTTGGGAGCGTAAGGCTGAACCGCAAGAGGCAGCGAATGTTGAGCTCAGGAATAGGAGAGCCATGCAGCCTGCTG